GTTGCAGAGTATTTGTTAAATATAACTAACAATATATATATTGTGTGTGTGATTGGTCCAGACGCTACACCCCAATACAGTAAAACTGCACATTTTAGAGTGGCCTTTTATTGTGGCCAGCCTAAGGCACACCTGTGCAATAATCATGCTGTCTAATCAGCATCTTGATATGCCACACCTGTGAGGTGGATGGATTATCTCGGCAAAGGAGAAGTGCTCACTAACACAGATTTAGACAGATTTGTGAACAATATTTGAGAGAAATAGGCCTTTTGTGTACATAGAAAAAGTCTTAGATCTTTGAGTTCAGCTCATGAAAAATGGGGGCAAAAACAAAAGTGTTGCGTTTATAATTTTGTTCAGTGTATATATATATATATATATATATATATATACAATGCATGAATTAATCTCTTTTGCAACTAACAGGAATATATCACTTGGCCAGTGAGTTATATCAATATTTTTCAAACATTTGTTTATACTTACTTGTTTACAGTTTTGCATTTTAATCTAACATGCCAGCTTACCATGCTTTATTAAAGCATTAATCTCATTAAATTGTGATACCTTTCTCTGAACGCGTAAAGCAATGGTTAAACTTGAAAAATGTGTAAAGTTTGTGTAACAAATGTGTTAGCAAGAGCTGTGCATGCAGCGACTGACACTAAGCTATGGTCTTTATCATCCTTCTTAGGGAGCCCGCCTCCTGTGGAAAAATGAGATTGGAGAACATTTTTGACCCATTTTTGTTTTGATTTTGATGTTTGTTTTTGGATCATTGTACTGTTGGAAGACCCACATTAGCCCATTATAAGATACCTAGCAGGCACAGTCAGGTTTTGATTTTTATATCTATATAAAAAAATTTGGTTCTGAGTTTATTAGCCCTGTGTTTTCCCATGTCCAGAGTCTGGTATTGTTCGTCTTTCCCCTCTGCTACGTGTGCGTTCTGTGTACCATTAGATGTTTATTAAAGACTGTTTGTTTGAAGCCTACTCCACGTCTCCTCATTCCTCGCTCCATCACAGTAGCAGCAGCAGCTGAAGTGTGACAGAATACCGGACCAAAAAAAGAGAAGGATGACAGCAGCGGAGTACCAGCTGTGGCGTTTGCAGCAGGGCAGTCGGAGGTTGGAGCGATTTGTGGAGGATTTTCTCGAACTTGCAAACCGGATGAGCTGGCACGACGCCACTCTAGGTGCATGTTTCCAGCTGGGGCTTGATGACTTGACTATCCGCTCCGATCTTCCCAGGTGTGATTTTCTCGTGATCAAACTGATTAATCTCGTCCTTTATTGAAACGGTTCCAATTTTGAAGTGGAAGAAATAAAGGAAAATTCAGTCTCGTCGTTCTGGAGCTTGCCACGTCTCCCCAGCACACCCCTCACCAGGAACCCCCACATACTGTGGAATATTTTTATTAATCAAAATATGAACTAATCAAGTATAATCAATGTGAATCGAGCCATTTATGTATCAAGTTATTCTACTATTATAATCAGGTATTTGCCTGTGTGTAGAGGCCTGCATGAGAATGGAATGTGCAGACATTACAAAACTGCAGTATATGGTGAAGCTGCACATCCTATTTGGACATTAGACAAAATATATGATGGGGCCTCTTTAGTCATGGAACATAAATTGGGGCCTCCTGTCTGCTTCTGGGTGGCAGGCTGGAGACACAGCCAAAAGAGGTACAAGAGTTAAGAGATAAGCATTAACCATATGTATGAAATGTATTGAACATGGGCATGACTTCAGGAAGCACTGTATAAAAGAGAGTACAGACACAGACTCGATAGATTGTTCTGCAGAGCTTTCTCGGTTTTGTTGTGTCTAAATAATAAAATCTAAATTCTGCCATCAAAACCCCAAGACTTTGAGAATGATTCCCCACAGCAGCGGCAGAAGCCACCACAGTCACTGCGTGTGTGCCACTGTGTGTGTCACTTTGTGTGTGCCACTGTGTGTGTGTATCACTTTGTGTGTGTGTGTGTGTGTGTGTGTGCCACTGTGTGTGTGTGAAGAGAAAGTTTGCCAGAAAACACTACTCATTTAATCAGTTTATCAGCTGATAGGCTTGGTTCTCTGTGGCACGATATCGCTGGATACTTCATTTCCAGCGTTATCGTTGACATGATTGCAAAGATATTATTTAAACTGAGCTGGATGTTGACATCACTGAATTCAATGATGAACTGTCTTAAACTGAAAAATTAGTGTTTACTATTGTCATTTTGCATTATTGACACTATTTTCCTAATTAATGCTGTTCAGTTGCTTTGACACAATCTGTATTGTGTCAAAGCGCTATATAAATAAAGGTGACTTGACTTGACTTGTGGCAGCATAATAATAATAATAATAATAATAATAAATATAAATTACATACATAGTGCACATTTTTTGAGTTTTCAGAGCTCGTAAACATAAAATCCATAGGAGGACTTGAATGCAACATATGGTTCTAATATGCATCCACACTTTAGCATGATAGGCCTATTGCATGAACAAAAGTGCTCTAACTGCACAATGTTGCCCTGAGGCAACAAACAAACAAAAAAGAAACAGAAACAAAACACAGTTTCAGTATATAAATAAAAACAAAATAAGTATTTTAATAATCATGCATACTTATTTACATATTGATGCACATACATATTTCTTTATATCTAAAGATATTTCATTTTAAACATATTAAACAGTGCTATTTATCTTACCAATTTGTGGCACTGTGTCCCATGCCACTTTGCTTCCTAAAATGACTGCTCCATCCCCAAACAAAAGGCTACACCCACTTCAGCCCATCATTTTATTGAACAGACATGTCAGGTGATATTATATGTATATATTGTTTTATTTAAAAAATTAAAGGGGTGGAGGTGAGGCCCAAAAAAGTGGTTTGTTGCCTGAGGGCAAAACTATGCCATAGAGGGTTAAGGAGACTTAAGGACTACTGCACCAGTTTAGAGAACATTTTTAATAAAAAAGCAAACAAGACTTGTAATATTTTCAACAGATATACAGTTGTTGATTACTGAATAAATGGTTTGTACACTCTTGTGCATTACTGTTGTTTATATTTTTCTTGTTAATTAAAAAAAAAGAAGAAGAAGAACCAGCACGCACTGCTTCGATTTGCTTAGTGCTGCATGAAGTCAAACACACCTATTGGTACCACAACATGATCGCTGTACCACCTGACCGCTGCAGGGTCGCCATAGAGGCCCTGTCCCAAATGGAACACTTCATGTGCACTTGCTGTCTTACGGACTTACAATGACCACCGCGTGCGCGCGTCCGTTAAGACCGCGAGGGTTTAGGGTGCCATTTGGGACAGGGCCAGAAACGCACAATCCTCTCGTAATTAGGCTACCTTAATAATTATGACATGGTGTGAACGCAGCATTCAGCTCGTCCAACCCCAATCAAACACACCTGAAAAAGCTAATCAAGGTCTTCCAGTCTGATTACTAGACAGCTACAGGCAGGTGAGTTTGATCAGGGTTGGAGTTGACCTGATCTCCTTGGATCTTTAAAACCCCATTTTAACGCCATATTGCAGCTACACGTTTATTCGTTTTCGTTTTGTGTGTTTTGCTCTCCGCTGCTCCTGACGCACAGAGATCATTGTGAGATCGCAGGTTGGGAGGATGACAGCTCGAGTGCATTGCTCGTGGATTGTGGTTTTATCGTGTCTGTTTGGGTACTTGAGCATTACAGATGCTATTCAAAGACGAGCCACAGGTGAAAAGATCTTTTGAATTCATTACACCGCCTGAAGAAATGCAGAAATAAGTGACTTTCAGTCTTTGAATATAGGAATTGGAGTTAGTAGGTTTTAAAACATTTGATTTGAAGCGGATATGTCAAATTTGTCTTGAGGTTTCAGACCCATTGTAAACCCCCTGATTTACAAGTGCTGAAACCGCACTCCCTGACTTCCCCTAAAGATCCTCTTGAATCCTCTAGTGGACGGTTACTGTCCGGCGAAGCTGACTGTCGCACGTAACACACGCACACAGTGATGCTTTCTGTCATGTGTCTGTTTAACAGCAAAGCCAGGAGAGTGTCCACCCTTATCATCTGTAAGAAGATTGTGTACCTGGTCCTGTACTAGTGACTTTAACTGTCCCAACAATGAGAAGTGCTGCAGCAATGGATGTGGACGTTACTGTACGGCTCCATATACAGGTATTTGTTATAATATTTTGTTTGTTGATAAGTGATACATTTTGCTTTTGTTATTCTCGTCAAAGGAAGTTAGAATTCATCCTTTAGGATAGTTTTAAACTCTGGATTGCTTTACAAAATAAAGAGGAATAATTCTTGGAATATAATTCACTTTGTAGGTAAAACTTGCTATTCATGCTTTGAGTTTCGTGCTGTATATAGAAGTGGCATATTGTCTATGCACACAAACTAAAGCTGACTATCTGTGTCCATGCAGTGAAGCCAAATCAATGTCCCAACCCGAAGAACATTCCACTGTCTGCTGAAAGCTGTTTCAATGATGGCCAGTGTCCTGCCACACAGAAATGTTGCCCAACCACCAGTGGCCATGCATGCAGTGAACCAAGCGGTCAGGGAATCGGTTATGGTCAGGGAAGTAGTCCAGGTCAGGGAAGTGGTCAAGCAAGCAGTAAGGGAAGTGGTTATGGTCAGGCAAGTGGTCGTTCAAGTGGTCCAGCATATATTCAAAGAAGCGGTCAGGGAAGGGGTTATATTCAGGCAAGCGGTCAGGGAAGCATTCAAGGAAATGGTCAGGGAAGAGGTTATGGCCAGGGAAGGGGTCAGGGAAATGGTCAGGGAAGTGGTCAGGCAAGCATTCAGGGAAGTGGTCAAGGAAGCGATCAATCAAGCGGTCAGGGAAGCAGTCAAACAAGTCGTCAGGGAAGTGGTTTTGATCAGGGAAGCGGTCTGGGAAATGGTCAAGGAAATGGTGAAGCACATAGTCTAGCCAGCAGTCAGGGAAGCAATCAAGCAAGCAGTCAGGGAAGCGGTTTTGACCAGGCAAGTGTTCAAGGACTGGGTTATAGTCAGGCTAGCGGTCAAACAAATGGTCAGGGAAGCGGTCAGGCAAGCCATCAGGGAAGTGGTCAAGCAAGCAGTCAGGGAAGTGGTTATGGCCAGGGAAGGGGTCAGGGAAATGGTCAAGCAAGCGTTCAAGGAAGAGGTTATAGTCAGGCTGGCGGTCAAACAAATGGCCAGGCAAGCAGTCAGGGAAGCGTTTTTGATCAGGGAAATGGTCAAGGAAGTGGTCAAGCATACAGTCTAGCCAGCAGTCAGGGAAGCGGTGAAGTAAGCAATCAGGCAAGCCATCAAGGAAATGGTCAGGCAAGCAATCAGGCAAGCGGTCAGGGAAATGGTCAAGGAAGTGGTCAAGCAAGCGTTCTAGCCAGCAGTCAGGGAAGCGGTGAAGTAAGCAATCAGGCAAGCCATCAAGGAAATGGTCAGGCAAGCAATCAGGCAAGCGGTCAGGGAAATGGTCAAGGAAGTGGTCAAGCAAGCGTTCAAGGAAGGGGTTATAGTCAGGCAAGCCATCAAGGAAGTGGTCAGGAAAGTGGTCAAGCAATCAGTCAGGGAAGCAGTTTTGATCAGGCAAGCCTTCAGGGAAATGGTCAGGCAAGCCTTCAGGGAAATGGTCAGGCAAGCCTTCAGGGAAATGGTCAGGCTAGCCTTCAGGGAAATGGTCAGGCTAGCCTTCAGGGAAATGGTCAGGCTAGCCTTCAGGGAAATGGTCAGGCTAGCCTTCAGGGAAATGGTCAGGCTAGCCTTCAGGGAAATGGTCAGGCTAGCCTTCAGGGAAATGGTCAGGCTAGCCTTCAGGGAAATGGTCAGGCTAGCCTTCAGGGAAATGGTCAGGCTAGCCTTCAGGGAAATGGTCAGGCTAGCCTTCAGGGAAATGGTCAGGCTAGCCTTCAGGGAAATGGTCAGGCTAGCCTTCAGGGAAATGGTCAGGCTAGCCTTCAGGGAAATGGTCAGGCTAGCCTTCAGGGAAATGGTCAGGCTAGCGGTGAAGCAAGCAGTCAGGGAAGCGGTTTTGATCAGGGAAGTGGTCGGGGAAATGGCCATGGAAGCGGTCAAGGAAGGGGTTATAGTCAGGCTAGTGGTCAAACAAATGGTCAGGGAAGCGGTTATGGTCAGACAAGCAGTCAGGGTCAATCAAGTGGTCAGGGAAGTGGTCAAGCAAGCGTTCAGGGAAGGGGTTATAGTCAGGCTAGCGGTGAAGCAAATGGTCAGGGAAGTGGTCAGGCAAGCAGTCAGGGAAGCGTTTTTGGTCAGGGAAGTGGTCAGGCAAGCAGTCAGGGAAGCGTTTTTG